GGGAGGGGGAACGGGACCGGACCGGGATAAGGGAACAGGGATAAGGGAACGGGCGGCATCGGGACAGGAACGGGACGGGACCGGGATAAGGGAACGGGCGGCATCGGGAGGGGAACGGGACAGGACAAGACGGGGATAAGGGAACGGGCGGCATCGGGAGGGGAACGGGACGGGACCGGGATAAGGGAACGGGCGGCATCGGGAGGGGAACGGGACAGCACAAGACGGGGATAAAGGAACGGGCGGCATCGGGAGGGGGAACGGGACAGGATGGATGAGGATACGGGACTGTGTGGGCCGAGGGTGGCACGGCACCGGGGACCGAGAGGGACACGGAGCTGTGTGACACCCGCGTTCTGCACGGGGACATGGGGCTGCCCAGGTCTTTAGGGACCTGGTGACACTATGGGGACTGGAAGGCCATGCAGGGCAGTGGGGGGGCTGCAGGGATTGGGGTTTGCAGACTCTTCAGAGCTGGGGATGCTGAAGATCCAGGTTTGCAGAGCTGAGAGTCGGGGTTGGGGTAACATGGTTTTGGGGAGCTGCAAGGAGCTGGGAGTTGCCTGGGGGGAGGTGGAGGGACTGCAAGTGAATGGGCCAGGGAAGAGTCAAARGATTGGAGAAGGGTGGGGGTGTCCACAAGTGGCTGGGATCTGCGTGGGGATGGAGCTGTGGTCGCTCAGCTTCCCTTTCCAGAGGCCCAAGGGCTGGGTTTGCACGGGAGCAGCCGCACACGCAGCCACAAGACCACAGGCACAGCCCCCAACGTCCCCCAGTCCCATCCCAGCCCGGGCTCTGCGGGGCTCCGAGGGCATGGGAATGCCGGTGGGACCCTCCTCRGCAGCGGTGCACACATCTGGCTGCCTGGCACGGCCTTCCCGCACGCCCCGTGCCACCTGGGGGGCAGCATTCAAATTTCCCCTCCCCAAATCCTACTACAACACTGCTGCCTGCCCGTGAGCYGGGAGCACAATCCCCGCGAATTTCCCTGCGAGCCCCAGCCCTGCCTCTGTGTGTAATTACTGTGCCTGGCAGCTGCTTCCCTGCGCACTGCCCTGTGCCGGGTGTGCATTACTCATCCCTGCCCGCTTCCCGGGGACTGGAGAGCGGCAGCTCTGCCAGGCAGAGTCACCCGGGGCTTGGGTGGCACAGAACAGCTGCGTGGCCACCGGACAGCCAGTGCGTGGCCCTGGCATGGCTGAGGCATGGCCACTATGTGGGCACTGCATGGTCAGTAAATGGCCATTGCATGACCTCTGTGTGACCATGGCATGGCCAGTAAATGGCCACTGTGTGGCCAGTAAATGGTTTGCACATGGCCGCTGAGTGACCACTGCATGACCAGTAAATGAACATCACACGGCCTCTGCATGGCAATCGTGTGGCCACTGAGTGACCTTTCTATAGGGAGCAGATGACCATCGCAAGGCCACTRAGTGACCACCACACAGCCACCAAATGACCACTGCAGGTCGAGGTGTCACAGACCCCCAGCACCAGCGAGGCAGCCCAAGGGTGCTCCCAGAGCTCTGGGTGCCAGCACCGGGCTCCTGCAGGGTCTGGTCACTCGCTGGGACAGCAGGGACGTGCCCTCAGGGTGACCACACTCTCAGCTGAGCCACCTGGGAGGGCAAACCTGGAATAATCACAAAACTCTCCCGTGAATGCCCAGCTGATGCCGTGCCATGGGCACAGCGGTGACCAAACCACTGACCCGTCACCCCCCTGACACGAGCACGTCACAGGGTCCTGCCGGGACAGCCAGCACCTCTCCACCCCCGGTTAAATCGGGGTGCAGCTGGAGGATGCCATCAAACACCCCCTGCCCTGGCACCCCTTGCCCCAAGGAGCTGCCCACGCACCATCAGGACGGGCAGGCGGCACCGTCACCCCGTGGGACAGCAGGAGGGGACAGAGCCACCGCATCCCCTCCCGGCGGCGTTTGGGTGGCAGGGGCTGCTGCGTTCCTATTCCACGCACGCAGCCTGTAATTTTGGTCTATTGAAGTCATAATTCACTACTGTGAAAATAAACATTTGTGTTAGCTCGCTTTATTCGGCGGGGTTCGGCTGAATGTTAATAATTCSCTGCCGGCGGCTTTGCACGTGGCCGGGGATGCGGGGACAAAGCCCGGGCACCCGTGGCCACCTCCTCACAGCTCTGGGTGAGGTCTCACCCTCCTTTGTACCCTGTCCCTGGGATCCCCTGATTCCGATGGAGATGGAGAAAGAAGAGCCACTTTGTGCTAATCCAGGGATAACGAGGAAGATGAATGCAATTTTTAGACAATATTTGGAGTCCAGCACCTCCTCAGACCCCTCCCTGCCCATCCCTGTCGCTGATTTTGTATCCTTGTGCTGTTTTGTGGATCCTCCCACGGCGTCAAAGACACCCCATCACCCACCCCGTGCTATCGCTATGCAGGAGAACGCCTGGGCCACCCGCCTGTCCCCAGGGCTGTCCCCAGCTCTYTCTGTCCCCGCTGGGCGCAGGGGGCTGGTGCTTCCCCTCGGCATTTGTGTCTTCCCAGCCTTTATCTTTCTGCCGGTCTCTGTATTGCTGCAATTACAGACACTTTAAAACACAATGATCTGGCTGTTAGCGTGATGGATGACAGAACCTTTCTGTCTGGTTTAAATCATTGCTGAGAGTGAGCAAACTTGCCCGGGTTAACCCCTTCCTGCCCCAAACCCGCTCCCTGCCCAGTCTGGAGCTGCCGCGTGCTCCGTGGCCACCCATCCACCACACGCCTGGGTCCCGAGGATGGGATAAAAGGGATCCTGGCATTCCTGGGGGCAAACATCCTCATCCCTCAGCTCCCTGGGGTCTGTGCTGGTGGGAAAATATCCCCCTGGGTGCCTGGGGGCAGGCGATGGGAGCAGAGCCGGCGGCCCCGCTCCGCTGCGCTGCAGTGGGAAAWTAACGGCTGGAAGGGAGATAAGCACCTGCCAGAGCCCGATAGCCGGCTGGATCCACCCCAACCCCGCGCCTGGCAATCCTTCCCCGGGCAAATCTGGAGCCGGGGCAGGATGGGGCCCCAGTGCGGTCCCACCCATCGGGGAGGGTGGAAACTCCCGTGGTGACTCGGTGTCGGTCACGGCAGCGGGTGASAGCCCGGCCCGGGGATGGCCACACGTTGTGATCTGTGATCCCTCTGTTTTGGGGAGGTGGCATCTCCCTGCACCCTGCCCAGTGCCATCCGTGCCTGCCCACCCCACAGGTGTCCCAGTCCCGTGGGAGGGTGTCACTGTCACCCATCGCTTGTGCTCACAGTGTTGGGTCATCCCTGCTGAGTGTGCACGTGGAGARGTTTGGACGGTGCCAAGGACCTGTCCCCGGGGAAGGGACACCCCAAGGCACAGCCTGGAGGACAAGGGAAGCGCTGAGGCCTTGGCGTGGTGTGTGCCAGGAGATAAAGAGCTCGCTGAGGCAGATGAAGACAACTGCCAACAAAAGCTCTCAGGAAATTGTCACCACCATGAGCCAGCCAGGCCCCAAATCTGCCCCTGCACRTGACCCCCACCCGCTATTGGGGCCGTGCACATGGGTGGTGGTGATGTGGTGAGTGCTGGGCTCCCACTGCCACCAAAGCACCCCTTAGACGGCCCCTCTTGCCTTTGCAGCCACCACGGTGCTGGGGACCCTTTTCACACCCTGTGGGTGCCCAGCCATCGATAACCCATGGCTCCCGCCGAGCCCCATGCCCTGCCCTGGCACCGCACCATCCCATATCCCATATCCCATATCCCATATCCCATATCCCATATCCCATATCCCATATCCCATATCCCATATCCCATCCTCCCGGCTCTCCCGGAGCTCAGCCCCGGCACTGCCCCGGGTGCCGCTGATCACTGATCGCTATTCCGGCCGCATCCCCTCCGGGCAAGCCTCAGGCTTTCCAAAGAAGCCCGTGGTGGCGGTTTCTCACAGSGTGCCCCCTCGGCAGGCCGGTGACAGCCCTGTCCCTCCATGGCACCCCGGGCCTCGCCCGCTCCCACGGGACCGCGTCTGCCGGCAAAGGCACCGAGCCGTGCCGCCGCTCAGCCCTGGCGTGCCACACGTTTCCTGTGGCACCCCCGGCGAGTCTGGCTGTCCGTCTGGGTTTCTCAATCTCTATCTGCTCCCTCTCGGGGAGCAGAGCATCCCTGGTACCTCTCTGAGTCCTCAGATGTGGCAGAGCTTGGGGACAACGCGAGGCCGGGTGCTCACGAGCAGCCGCAGTGACACAAAGCCCCACACGGCTGTRGGATCCCCAATTCCCATTTATCGGAGCATCCCTGCAGGGTCAGGGAGCTGGGAAGGGTCGGTGTGGCCACGGGCGGTCCCATCGCCCTGCCTGAAGCGCGGATGTGGTGCCCCAAATCTCAGAGCCCGAATCCATCCCGGAGCGAGCACGGGAACCGGGCTGCAGCTCTTCCCTTGGCACTTTGCTTGMAGCAGGAGC